TACTTACACGAGTAGCTTGTAATTCTTGTCTAAGAGTTCCAATTAATCCAGTTTTATCCGATAGTGAAGTAAAATTTAATAATTTGTCAATAACCTTAGCGTCATCTTCAGCAAATAATGAAACTGAAAAAAATGGTCCTAAATATGATGAATAAGATAGTTCACGACCACCACTTGGAGTTTCGGGTTTTGGCATAAACTGAGGCTAAAAATATCAACATACATTTTTTAAAAACAATACTTATTTAGAAAATGTTAACATTGACTTACTAATTTAACTATTAAAGTACATATAGGTAAATTATTTTTAGAAGCAAACAAATGCAAAGAAGATAGTTCATTAAGTACTTCAATGGGTTTACGATGAGTAGAGCCCACAAAACTAGCAGTTTGCATTAAACGGTGTAGATGTTGTAATATTGGAATAAAAATCTAAAAGAAAAACGAAAAATTACATTTTATGGAAAAAAATTTACTTAAATATTGATTACTGACTTCTTCTAATAAGTCTTGATTCAATGCTGCACGGTTCAATACTTCGTTAATAAAACCTCTAGGTACTTTTCCCTTCATCAAAAATTGTGTAATGGGGGAGTATGTTGTTTTCATATTTCGAACCCAAATGTTGTCATCATAAATCCATCCTTGAGTTATCATCAAAATACAATAACTCACACACTGTGATCGTAAGTTAGTTAATACTGTTGAAACTTTCAAAGTATTACTCCTCTATAAATGATAAAAATAGCAGTTAAATTAATACTAATAATGAGTTTGGAAAAAATATTTTTTACTTTAGGATATTGTCGTTGTTCTTCTTCAACACGATCATAACAATCAAACAAATATTGCAATCCTGAAGCTATAATTAAATAATCTGAATCTTCTTTTTTATCTGCATGATCAACCCTGGATTTATTTGTAACTATGATAAGAGCTTCTTGAATAGCCATGCTAATAATATTCTAAAATAAATTAATAAAAATCAAATAATACAGTACAATATAAATTAAATATAAATATTAAAAAAATATGTATAAATAATAATAATTATTATTATTTTATATTATTATTATTATTATTATTATCACAATTATAATTATTTATACAACAATATAAATTATTTTGATCTTTAATAAGTTCATAAACAAATGTTCATAATTATTTTTTGTTTGATCAATTGTCATTAATTAAATTACAATTTTAGAATTGTTCGCATATTACAGAACAAAGCCCATTAATATGGGTTTATGTAATTTAAATGTATTGATTTTTCTAAATAAATTATTTTTAAAATTTAATTTAATATTTATGATGTACTACCGTTGTAAAAAATTGCTTTATATTACTCAAATTTTGCCTTATCCTATTAAGACATTCAGTGAACATACTATTTATTTTCTATTGTGATACACATTCCATGCGCAACATAGACGAAACTGTTATGAGTTAGATATAATTTTGTCTAAATACGTACCATTAAATTGAATCCCGGAAAAAAAAAAACCAAAATGATAATAATATAATCAGAGAATTAGTAAAATCACAAAATATAATAATATACAATCTATTGCTGTGTTATCAATATTATAACGAATAAAATTTATATATAAATTAATTATACATTCAAATATTATATAATTAATTATATTACATTTATTTTATCCAATTTTCAAAGCTGAGTAAGTTAGTCACTTTTTGGTGTTACACTTACCCAACTTTACAAGTATCAATTTTATGAGTGATATATCGACTGTAATATAATAATAGAGATAATAATAATACAAAACACTATGTATGCTATTACATACATTTTAGTTTGAGAAATTCCCTGTATATCTTAGACCTATTACTCTATGCTGTAAATATACTATTGGTTTCGAAAATTAAAAATAACTCAACAATATAATCAGACAAGTGACAAGTTAATCTGTCAAGATTTATAGTTGAAATTGGGGGAAAATGAAGATCATAAAAAAATACACTATTGATCATTGTGTTGACTGTGACTTTACTGTATTGTGTTATTGTGTCTTGTGTCTTTCAAATTGTTTTTTTTTAAGTTCAGGATTTAATATTTTAAAATATGGAAATTATTAAATCAAATAAGGGTGCAGATAAGCTTTGTCACAAAGGTTATATGTATACCTTAAAGTATGCCGGAAAACAATATTATACATGGAGATGTACAAATTGATGTACAATATCGATTATATTATCATTTTGGTTTTTTTTCCTTGGTTTTTTTTCCGTATACCCATTAAATTACAGCCTATTACTATTTTATTGACTCATCATTAAATAATTAACATGTAGAACATATTCTTAGTATCTACATTAATTATAAGATGCTAAGAGATTTATTTTTTAGGATGATTTTGGTGTTTTATTTTTCCTGTCTCAATGAAAACGTCAAGTTTTGTATAAGTAGATATCTGTTATAGTTTCCTAGTACAATATATTCAATAATTAATTGATTACATGCAATATGTATACACTATAAAATAATGATGCAAATTTCACAAGCTAATGCTTTATGTTGTAGGGCCTATTCAAAGAATTGTGATTATTTACTATAAATTAATGGACAGGTATCATCATACATACAGGTATTTCAGAAGGTTCATAACTCTGCTTTTTTTCATTTTCCATATAAGCTGCTAATTCTGGCAAAAATAAACCTTTACTTTCATCACTCCAAGATACATCCAACACTTTTAATACTACAGCAAATGTTATATCTTCTTTTGATATTTTCTAAAAAAAATTGTAAAATTAAAATGAGCTATATAAAAACACATGAAAAAAAATTACCACTGGCACCTCCAATGGTCTTTTTCTTCTGATGCTTTCTTGAAAATTTGATTCCTTATGTTCATCAACTTCCATATTCTCAAAACCTGAATCCTCTTCTGGAGTAATAATTGTGGATGGTCCAGGAGCTTTAACCGGAGAAACAATATTGTTTTTAATCTCCACATCAGTACTGTTGTTTTCAATTTCCATAGGTAAATCTTTTGATTCAGTTTTAATTGGCTGTGTAGCAAATGTTATTCTTGTGGGCACTATAACAAGTAAATAAAAATATTATATTCTAGAATAATTTAAGTGCTCAAATAATGTTTGTTACATTGTGGAATTTGCTGTGGAATAACATCAGACACGGTTGGTGTTGGTGTAGGAACTCTTGTTGTAGTTACAGCAGCTAAACGTGCTAAGCGACGTCTCCTTATCTGTGAGAAAAAGTAATATTAATCTTGAGCATAGATGCAAGTAACAAGAAAATAGACTCCACTAAACTACAATGAATCAACCAACATATCAGCTATGCCTTACATTTGTAAAAAGAAAAAATTTTGTAAAACAAAAACATTTTTATAAAATTACATACCATAATGAAAAATAAATACGTAATAATACAAACCAACAATAATACATTTTATTTGTTTCATAACATAGCATAACTAACCTATAAAATAAATTATCAACAGTTCAACTCACTAACAAAGAGTTATATCTTATTTATTTTATTTTTTGTTAAAATCCCTTTGATGAGAATCAAATACCCTTTATTCAATTTCCTACTCGTGCTTCTGATCTGATCTTGTGTAATAATCTAATATGTTCAATGATCAGTATCATACACAATGATTTTTATAATACTTTCTTACTTAAATATGTATAGTTTGTTCAATGTAATTAAAAAGTTATTACATACTTATAATTCAATAATGATTAGCCAATGCTTTAAAATACAATCATGCAATAATTGTATAATACAATTATGTATGTATATTTATTTGACAGTTATAATCTAATATACTTATTGCAATTTATGATTAATTTTTCAAACTATAAGTATAGGTAGGTAATTTATTATAATTGTTTATTTATAGTAAATAATTCTAAAATAATTATTACTGAAAAAACAAACAAATTTTTAACAATCCAATTAATAAAATGTACTGTTAAGTTCTATTATACTTGGATATATACTGCAATAATATACTTTTAAGATCTAAAATATTTTAAACATCAACATTATTTATTTATTAATTATAATATTTCAAATAGATTCAAAAAACATCTAAACATAAGTAATGATAATTTTCATTAGTTTTCATAAATATGCAAGTATAACAATATTTATGAATAAAATAATTCATGCCTGTAGGCTGTAAGTATTTATAATCATTAGTCTTCAAAATTTCATAAATATTGAATTATACAATTTATTTATTATCGTAAATTAAATCACACAAAGGGAAAAGAGATCATCAATAAGACAAAAGATTAAACTTTTGATGGACAGACGTCAAGTTGGAATTGCAATACAATTGTTTGGAGACCAAGATCTGGACTGTTCAAATTCACCACTGCAAAATGTTAGATGTCTAACATAATTGAGTACACACCATTATACAATCATTTATGACTTATGTTCAAAATGAATACATAGAAACGAGGTACCATTACTCTTAATTAAAACACAAATATATATAAACCGTAGCAAATGTTTCTTACCTCTTCGGGAGTTAAGCCACTCATAACTATGTGTTTATTGACTTCCTATAGTTTAAAGTTTAGTCTTTTTGTCGGAGATGAATAACAAAGCACCAACAATGGTTAATAATGATTAGGAACAACGTGTAAGGTCGATTGTGTCCACAGTACAATGCGACCGGGTAGCGTAGATCGATGTTTTGTGTGCAAACACTGCAAACTGCTAAGTTGTATATTGTGGTCGTATAGGGTTTAAAAATAAACGAAATGTTCAATGGATAAAAACCTCAAAGAAAAATACTAATCATCGCGAAGTCTCTCACTAAAACAGATGTTCCTACAAGTGATGTGTGGCTGGGAAATGTTAAGAAGGGAGTGCGATGAGGTCACTGACTCAATCTCCAAAGAGCGATCACAATCATCAATAAGTAATAACAGAGGCGTCTCGTCCACCGTTGCTACGTTCAGTTCTGTCAGCCACTGTTATCGCCTATCGGCTTTTCGCATTTCGCTTATCTCAGAATGTATTGAAGGATATTTTCATCTCTATCTTGATTTTTATTTTTCCAATTTCTTATTTCATTCTTTAATTATTTTACTCTATAGAGCGTCAATGTATTATACATAGTACATACTATTTTAACTTAATTTATAAACCTAATTACTAGTTTTTGACATCTTTCGTAATTTCTTATAACCAAAATCCAAATTAAATATGTTATTGACTATTAGCAAGTTCACCTGCAAAATAAAACCACTAATGAATTATGTAAGTACTGCAACTACAACTAAATTATTATGGATGTTATTCACCTAACAGTATTTAATAATTATTTCTATTGAATGTTTAGTGGCATACACTAATATTCTCAATTGGAAGGGTTTTATTGAAAAATTACATACATAAAAGTATTGTTTGAATTTTATTAATTTTTATGTATCCAAATGTATGGTAAAAAAAATATCAAAAGAAGAATACCTAATCCCCCACCTGTATGTACGCCGTTGGGACTATTCTCAACTAAGTCACATTTTGAATTTTAAATACCATAATATAAACTAGTATTTATATTAAAATTTTAAAGCAACATAAAAAAGAAAAAATATTTCTTATTTATTTAAAATAATAATTTTCATTACATTGATGATTAAAATAAAGTTATTTATAAAAAAAGCTATTTTTGAATTATAAGTTTTAAAAAAATTGCCTAGTATTGAGTACCTGTAGGTATTATTATTTCTGTTATTACTTTTTTTTTGGGGGGGGGGATACAAAGCATAATAAATGTAATTATATAAATAACAAAAATTCAACAGAAAGAGTTTTAGTATTTGGTTGTGTACAATAATATACTAATTATTGTATGTAATTAATCGCAAACAGCTTAAGTATAAAGGTACTTAAATTATATTATAATTATTTACAATGAATTAGGTTCAATAACTTACTGATATCATACAAGGAATAAACTTATACATTTCTTACCTACAAACTGTAGTCCGTATTTTGTGCATAAGCGTCGAAACTTGCATACTCTAGGTATTATTCATACTAAGTTGACTTAAATATAAGTCACATGTATTATAAAGTTTCTAACCTCGGTCGAAGCTAGTGTTATATTATTCATCATTTGTATTATGAATCAGCTGTATGTATAGTTTATATTTTACTATCTTTAAGTTTTTTTTATACTAAATTCTCCTTACTAATGTTACCCTAATTAATCAATTTTTCTGTAATTAAAACTACCTTTTGTTTCTAAAAAAAATAAAATACTCTACAAGTGTATACAAAATAGATATTTTGTAAGTTTAAAAACTACTGAACATTTAAACAAATTAATGTGCCATCTTTGTAACATTTACAAATGTATTGTGACTACTTAAAATGTTTAAATCACTTTTCACTTATATAAAATAAGTGTTTGTACAGAAAATATATCTGTAATATTACAAAATCTATTTATCTATACCAAACTTATTCCAACCATAATATTTCATAAATAGAACAAAAAACAGATGTAAATCTCATTAGTTATTGAAAGTTTAATTTTTATTAATTTATAAATATTATTCCAGAGGGTTTATTCTAAAAAAATAGATGAAATACTACCAAAAAACTTATTAGAAGACATCTATACAGCAGCACAACAAAAGCAACTGGGTGTAATTTATGATAAAAGGCCATTTAAAATTACACTAGAGAAAGACAAAAAGTATAATTGGTGTTCTTGCGGTATGAGTCGACAACAGGTATGCACGGATTTATATACAAACTTAATGTATTAACTTAAATTAAAATAACATACTGTAATATTCTAATATTATTATTAACAAAAAAAATATTTTTATTTATTTAATTTTAGCCGTTCTGTGATGGTACTCATAAAAATCAAAAACTCAGAATAACAATGAAACCAGTTCGAGTTCAAGTAGCTGAAACCAAAGAATATTGGCTATGCAATTGCAAACAAACATCTCATCGACCATTTTGTGATGGCACACATAGACAACAACACATACAAGATGCAATTAAGAAATATTAATTACTGGTTGCTTAATATTTTTTGTATATTTTATGAGATATAGTTTCTTTTGTTTGGGCACATATTTTCAAGTGGAAAAAAATAGTTTTTCAAAGAATTGTTTAAAAAAAAATTGTGCTACTCTAACACTATTTGTTTGTTGTTTTTTTTCAATGTAATTTTATCTTAACTCTTAAGGTAACTATAAAATAATAGTGATTTAACTTTTGGCCACACAATAAGTTATAATAATATAAAAACAAAATTATAGCAATTAATTAAACTCTAAAAAATATGTAAAAAATAAAGTACGTTCATTTCAAACCTGTAGTAATATATAGTGTTTAAAGCAAGCGTTGCCGTATACAAAACTAGCGTTAAATAATAATACTTAGCACACTATATATTGTTTGTTTTCAAAATGGAAGAAATTTAAAATTATAATTTATTCAATGGCTTTTGATAAAAACTCAATAAAACGTTTGCCATATTGTTCTGGATCGCATGTTGATATGCCATCCACATTTGATCCATGCTTCAATGTTTTAGCTGCTTTGGCTGCCTGCTTTTTTACGCCATAATGTGTAAGTACATCAATCAATGCAATGAAATAAATTTCTCGTACAGGTGCACCTATATTTCATTAAATAAATATGGTCATGATTATATTTACAATAAGAAACAGCCACAATAACAAAATATTATTATGTATAAAATTACCTTCACTACTTGGTATGGCATATATATCGAGATCAGGTATTATAGCAGCTGCATCATACTGACAGAGGCTTGTATCACGGGCTAATAAACTATGTGGTGAATCTGGAGGTGTATTTGCCCAAGTCACTGTATTCCCAGCACCCTCACTGTCTTCAGCATCTTCATCTTCTTCTTCTGCATTAACATCTCCAGTCCCACTAGCAATTGCCTCTTCCCTTTCACGTTCTGCGCGAGTACAATCATGTATGCCTAGCAATAGGCTATAGTCCATCAAATGTAAACCCGTCAAAAACTAGAATGCAAGTCATATGTTTTACAAATTTAGAAATTTAGAACACTAATATGAAACTTACATCAACATCTGCTCCTAGCGTTTCTAATAACTTATCTTTTGCTTCATCTCCAATATATATTTTTGTACGCTCTTTGACAAAATCGTTGTCTTTGTATGTTGGTAAGTCTTTTTCCTTCTCCTTATCTGAAGCTTCTCTATCTACTGTGGAACCTTTGAGATCAAATTTTCTAAAAATAAAAATACATTTTTAAGCTCTTCATATTAATACAATTATAATTTTGATTATTTAATATTAAAAAAGTAAAATAAACATAAATTTAAAAAATCAGAATTAATTCAGAAACCAGAATTTGGATATCTTAAAATGGGATAGTAATGTATTATTATTAATATTTACTACAGTAATTATATTATTTTTATTTAAAAAAAAGTTATTCTGGATATAGTTTAGTAAGTTTATTTTACTTAGCCTCTTAAAAATGTTTTGACCAATGAAAAATAAGAAAAAAGTATTTACCAATAACAAAGTCAATAGATTTGGTTAAAAATGCTTGTGATGAATGATATGTGATCAACAATTACACACATTAAGGTTGGTTATTGCAAATTAATGCTAAAAGTATCAAGGATTATAAACATTCTTCTCATCATTGAAATTTATGAAAATTAAGATAAGAACGAGTGCCTACACTAACATTGTTTCTCAGATTAAGAAGTATTTAATGTTTCATCCTGTCTGAGAAGAAAATACTCAATTTACAAAAAGTGATATATTATGTAATATCTGACCTTTATTATAATTCTTAGCTTCAAAAATTAAAAATCAAGATATACTAAAGCTATGAGACTTTTAAACAATGCAACTATTAATATTATTATGTATCTAATAATTTGGTTATACTTAATGGTTTCCTGAATTGAGCCTAAAGTACTTAATATCAAATAATAAATACCAATGAGTCATATTCCTACCATTATTTGATATTATGCCAATATTTAACATTTAAGCAATCTACAGTCCTTTAAAATATCACCTACAGCTGTTATGACTACAGAACCTGAACACAACTAATCGGTTTTTATTTTACATAGCGCATAAATTAATTATATAGGTACATTGTTTACTATATAAATTAATAATTTAACTTAATAAAACATGGAATTTTAACAACATGTTACAATATATCTTGTTGTACACAAATGTCTACCTTTAAAGCATGAAAAATAATAAAAATGTTTGAAGATTCATCTTATTAATTTATTATAGTGTTATTGAATTAATTTATGTTATTTTATACTAAAAAGTGGCACACACATACGGGGGAAGAGCCAACAGTTCTAAATACAAATTTTAACTATTGACACATGATAACAACCATTAAATAGGGATAATAAACAAATAATTTGGTTAATAGAAATTTAAAATTTGTTAAAAATAACATATTTAAATTGACATAATATTTAATAGCACTAATATATAGGTAAGACATTTGATAATAAATAATAATTATGTATTCATTATTTGTATGATATTATCAAATAATAAAATATGCAGAAGTAAATAAGTCATACTTATGTGTGGCCAAATGATTGCTAAACACATTTCTCATGGCTACGACATAATGTTCATCACCGTCAACAGTCAAGCGATACATTCCCAAGTATTGAGGAAGAAGAGTTTTTCCATGTCTCTCAACTATGTACTAAAAACAAAGTTTAAATTAAACTATAATATAATGAATGCATTAATTACTTACAGGATGATAGTGTTTCAAAAATGAGTGCATTCTTTCAACTTCTTCGCTTGTTAATGTTTTAATGATGAATAGTTTGTCATATGAATAATAAAAACCAGCATTGCTTTTGCCGGTGGCATCTGCTGAAACAGGTTGTGATCTAAAAGAATAAAAAAAATACAAAATACCTTATAAATTTGAATACATAGATTAAACCAGATGTGTCATATCCATTTTTGAATTGTTTGGCCAAAATGTTTGCTGGCCATTTTAAAATTTCATCGACAAAGAATGGTATTTATTTCTTATTATGTTTTATTCTTTATAATATGATATAGGTACTACTGTTATCAAATTTCTTAAGATAGTTAGTGAAGTGTTGGCCCACTGTCAGATATTATTTAAAAAGTTTAAAATAAAATCCATAAAACTGACTCAATATTGAATTTAAGATACATATTGGTGCTTTTATTTTATTTTTAGCAGATTACAGAAACCCTAAACAAATGACACAACTAGATTAAACCTTAAAATAAATATATTTTGTTGTTAAATAAACTGAAATAAAAGTGATTAGTAAATTAAATTAGGTTAGGAACATATTTTAATTGTCAACGATAAAAATTAGTAATTATTTACTTATTAATCAAAGTAGACGCATTAATACAACAAATAATTTGCCTATTAAGATATGAGTAGTATATACTGATATAGTAGATCAACAATATAAAGATAACTATTTATTATAAAAATAAGAAAAAATTATAGAAAATGTTAGCTACTTTAAAAGAGTTTTCCTGAATTTCAATGAAATACAACTTTATAAGATTTTATTGCATTTAGTCAAAATACAAAATATATTCTTTAGCATAGCACAATTGTTATTCAACCTTTTATATTTTTTTAACATCAATAAGTAGTAGGTATTCACATAAATTTCAGGAAGAGCTCACATTAAATATTTTTAACTATCCAATACATAAATGAACACACTTTGTTAGTCCTCATTCTTATACCTTCTTTTAATTTCAGAATAATTAACTTTCAATTTCTTAGGCTTATAGTTAGCTGTTTCCATATGTAAATTAGGAGTAGTCAAGGATCTCCTGTTGTACATCATAATAGATTTGCTTTGACTTTTGCGACAACAGTAGCTGCTTTCCTCAGAGAACCTTATTATTGTGCCAAAAACAATTTCATTATAGAAAAATTTGTAACAATGAAAATAAAAAATGAAATGTCACAGATATGGAAAAATTAATAATATCAAGTAATAAATACAATATATTTATTGACTAATATAGTCTTACATGTATATATACATATGCATAACAATTAAGTTCATAATTGATTTTAAATATTTTATATAAATATACAAACATACACCATTATTGAAAAGTATCGACTACACTGGGGATAAATTAATGCATAAACTCACTATAGTGTCTGTGATCTCAAATTGATTTAGGTATTATATACTTTTGAAGCATAACATCAAAACCAAACTACCGTTCATATAAATTAAATACAAAATATTTATTCAGAAAATAATAAGTATCTTAGTGAATAAATAATTAAACATTTTTAATTAATTAGTATAAATTATTACCTTGTCATTGACTCTTTGTAATCCAGATCATCAATACCAAAACGTTCCCTCAGATTACGGAACACCAATGGACAGTATTCTTTGATTTTAAAATGGCTAGGCATATTCTCCCTATAAATAAATAAAAAAATGATTAATATCAAAATATTAGATTCAAAATTTATCAAATATGAATAAATACTTACTTGTTAAACAAATGGTTGTCGACTTTAACTTTTGAATACGCTCGAAAATCATCAGGAAGTAGCATTACTGGTATTGTTACATGGCTCAATTCATTAATCTACAAAATTTAAATTAATGATCAAATTTAATCAGTTATAAACATAAGTTTTTACAGTTATTAATATTATAATAAAACAATTCAAAATGAATAAGTCAAATGTTAAAAATATTAATAAGATATTATTTTTTTTATCAGGGGGTTTGGAATTAGGTAAAACCTGCCATCAGGCGTGGGGTAGTACGGTAGGAGGTTATTTTTTAATATTTTTTAGTAGGTTTTTGAGTCCATAGAATTGTCACACGTTGAATTATTGTGTATATGTGTCATGTTTCGTCTCTAAAAACTCTTGTGGATATCCATCCGAGAGATAGCTAAGCCAAGTGCAGTAAAGCTTCAACAATCAAAGGTAATTGAGATCAGCCACTGCTCCAAACCATGGCATAATATAATATTCATATATAATGTAAATATAAAAGTAAACATTATAATTGTAATTACAACCATGGATGATGGGGAGTAGACAGGTTTTCCATACAAGCAGTGGTGTGGTGGACATTTATAAGCCATGATGTACAGCGTTTATTTTAGTACCTAATCACTCTTTATCCCTTTAATATAATATATAATGTACTTATTATTTAACTGTAAATATTTACAAAAGATATCCAACCACTCTACCACCCATACCAAAAAAAAAAGTTTCAACCATAAAGCCTAAGCCTCATAAAACCCCATTCACTGTGCCATTGCATATTATAAATACAATAATTAAATACAATTTTTTTCTAGCCATAAATTGTATGAATTTTTATAGATTTTTGTCAACTGTATAAGTAGAATAAGCACAATAAGTATAAAATAAATAGGCATTCAAGTACATCCAAGTGTTCATTTTAATGTTTTCATATATATCATACTTTTTTCTTGTATTATGGATTTTAGTTTACACAATATATATAATTATTTATAAATTACAAAAATTCATTGATACTTTGGTAATTTATTAAATTTATTTTAAAACTGATACTGAAACTGAAGTTATTGAACATTATTTTAAAACATATAAAATATAAAAACATCCCGATTACCTATAGATTACTTTTAATATCTACTTATAAGATTCTTAGTTATGGTTGCAATGTCAATAATAAATAAAGTATTCAGACAATGCTGCTTACCAAAATTAATAAAGAAATACAAGTTATGAACTATAAAAAATACTAAATTAATTTATTAGCCTTAATATTTTATGGTCAAACTAGTGTAATTCCAAAATGAATAGCGTAGTAAAACATAGGTTGATAAAACTATAACAGTCCAGTAAGGCTAATAGAATTGTTTGATTGTGTTGAATATTTGTTTTTAATTAATGCTTATTGCTACTAATGGAAATTCTGATTACAATTATTTATCATTAGCTCATTCAATGTTTGACTACAAAAGAATATTTTTTTTGTTTATCCTATTCTATTCTGGGACTATATTTACTAGACATTTTTAAGTATCTTATACACCCACTTTTATATTACAAATATATGAACTAAAAATTATTTAAATTTATGAAAAACATATATAATTTACAATCACTCAAAAAAAACTTCAAATTTAATGTGACTTATGAGTAATACAACAAGAGTTATTTTTGTACTGGTATATTACATGATAACATCAAGTACAAAAGCTTTCTAATTTTCAATATATGTGTTCAAATCAAAATTGACTAAATGGCAACGAGTCAAAGTTTCGATTAAAATTATTGAATTTTTCAACAATCATACTAAAATTTTATGAAATTTTTCTGTATCCGTAGGTTTGCAGATATTTTTAAATCATTTAAATTTTAACTTTGAGGAATTAGTGAACCTTAGTTAGACGTAAATGTTAGTTCATTTACTAAGAAAAGATTAAACTAATTAACACAATTTTTTTATAATTTTAATAATTTCTATTATTTATTTGGATAAACAAATTTCTAATAACTATCTAATAAATTGTTCAAAATTTAGCCCATCATTCTCCATGCATGATTGAAATCGACGAATCACTTCTCTTTGAGTAGCTGCTAATATCTGTTCCTTTTTAAGTTCTGCACATTCAAGCATTTACAATTTTATTTTTGAGATCTTGAACATTTAAAGGTGGAGTTGAATACACTATATTCTTCAAATGTCCCCACAGAAAAAAATCTAATGGCGTGAGATCTGGAGATCTTGGTGGCTAAGCTACTACTCCATATGTACCCATCCATCAATTGAGGTTAATTAATTCCCCAAAGTTAAAATTTAAATGATTTAATAATATCTGCAAACCTACGGATACAGAAAAAATTCATACAATTTTAGTATGATTGTTGAAAAATTCAATAATTTTAATCAAAACTTTGACTCGTTGCCATTTAGTCAATTTTGATTTTAGAGCTATAGTAAAAAGGACCAAATCGACTTAAAAAAATTCGGTCTATCCGAATTTGGTATTAAAAACACCGGTTGCCATTAAAAAAAAATGCAAGTTCTATTATGCATGCGCACACGGAAAGATTTAAAAATGTAAAAATCATCAATAAATGTGTATTTATGTATTCCCTATTCCCTTCCGAAAACTGCATATTAATCCGATGTTACTGGACAGAATTATTTAGTGCTATCTTTAAAAGGAATCACACTGTACATAATATATTATACAGATAATAATAAAATATAGTATGGTACTTACTTATATGATAATACTATTTTGAATGTTCATTATTTAATAACTAGATTTGCGCCAAACACGCAACGTTTCACCAACTACACAGAGTAGTAGACTATATCGCCACAACACTTGAAACTAGAAAATACTGTTCCGGTCTTTTCCTTGACTTGGCTCAGGCATTCTATACCGTGTGGCAAGACAGCTTGTTATTCAAACTTAAAAACATTTTCCCGGCTCCATACTACTTACTTCTCAAATCTGACCTAAGCGACAGAAGCTTCAGAGTTAAAATAAACACAACACTCTACAGTTTACAAATGATCTCAGCAGGCGTCCCACAAGGCTCCTATCACTCCTTTCCTCTATACTTTATTCGCAGCAGACATCCCTACCTCAGTCAATACCCTCATCAGGGCCTACGCTGACGACACAGCCGTACTCTCTTCCAGTCACGACATTCATGAAGCAAATCTCCGACTTCAAAACCACTTGGACATCCTTCCCCACTGGTTCAAATCATTGAAAATCAAGGTCAAAGACTCCAAATCAGCTCATGTAACATTTGCACTCCGCCCGGGAGTACCACCCTCTCTAACGTTCAACAATGAAATTATACCTCAGACTAATGAAGTAAAATACCTCGGTCTAGTCTTTGACAAAAGACTAACCTGGGGCCCTCACCTCAAAAATAAACAAAAACAACTGAACAGCCGCCTGCATATTTTAAGACCACTCTTAAAATCAAAAATGAGAACCTCTAACCGTCTACTATTATATAAGAGCTTACTTCTACCTATTTGGTCCTACGGAATCGCCCTCTGAGGTTCAGCCAAACCAGCTAACACCAAAACTATCCAAGCTTTCTAAGCCATTTTCCTACAAATGACTGCGAATGCCCCCTGGTACGTTACAAATGTAAGCCTTCACAACGAGCTAAAAATTGCTACTATCAAACAAACAGTTGCCAAATTCTACACTCGCCTCCACTCCAAAACGGCAGACCATCCCAACTGCCTCATCGCTCAACTTCACTCCAACCATCTTCCAGAAAACCCGCCAAGACGTCTTAAAAGAAATTGGCCCAGAGACCTACTCAACACTTAATGCATACCTTTTAAGGAAATTAAATCAAATTATATTATATTAAGCTCAGGTGCTTCAAATGTGAGGCTCCTTCATGTCATTCTCTGTCCCTTTTATTTCTTATGTTATACCTTTTACTTATTGTGCCCCCATTGTACAGATTATAAATATTCATAAAATAAACGTCTTAAAAAAAAACTAGATTTGAAGAAACGGTAATTGAAATAAACCGACAATTTGTAAACATATACCTTTATAATATTATTATACCTACAATCCGTCTCACGAAAAATAAACGTTTAAGGTTAATGGGTTTTGCTCAAATGGGCATCATGCATTTGGACAAATTACCTTTTTACCAACATAATAAAGGTAATATGTTTAAGAGAGTTTCTTATGTGTTAGAGCAAGTATGATACAATATAACATCTAAAAGATGAAAAATACATTGGTCTTGAACATTCACTTTTCATGAGCCGGATTATAGTAATACTTAATATAATAATATCATAAACATTATGTGGTTAAATATTAATATTTAATAATACCACAGATTATATTAAACAAAATAATTTAATATAATCTTTGATAATACTATGCTCCTACCAATCTAAAGTGTTTGTTATAAGAAATAAAATAACATAAGTAATGCTTACTATAATAAACAACCTTATACACAATATACCTAAGGCAATAACCTATTGGTATTGTAATTAGTAAATAATTATCATAATTTTACTTCACATATTAAGATTTTTTTAAATAATAATTTGTGGGTATTGAACAAAAACAATATTGTACTTATTTGCATACTACTATGATATTTTTGTTATGAATAGTTATTTAATAAAAAATTTAATTTTTGCATAGAAGGTAATAATAAAAATAAGTGTGTATTTCAAAGGTTGACAATTCCTAGGTAATAATAGAACTCATAATTTTAAAGAAAATAAAAATAAATTGCTCTTTTATAGTTTTATAGCATTACAATATGTAAAGTAAAAGTAAGATTTTATAATATACCTATATGTGATTTGTGGTATAAAATACACAGAAGAAAGAAAGAAATTCTACAGGTACCTAATTAATAATTATATTATAAATTACAGGTCAGTATAATAAATACATATTTTGGTTTATAAAAATAAATTTTTTTTCTTATACCTACCTATAAGTAATACAAATTTCAAGTATTCTAGTTATTTGTTTTTAAATTACAACATAATAAGAAAATCAATTTTATCAAAAACTGGTTTTGACAAAAAAATTCCAATTTTTAACTATTTTCTATACGTTTCCTACTAATTAGCAAATAGTAATTCCATTATTTTAAATAAGTATTTGATATATAAAAATATGTAAAAATATATTAAAATCCAAAATGATAAATAATAATATTTTATGGACAACATAAACCATTCCCATAAGAAAAGTCTAGGGTAAGGAAGCTATATTTTAACCTTTATATTTATATTAAACAAAAACAATTAAATCCAACTAAAACAATACAATCTGAAATGGGTTGAGCAAACCACAAGATTCTATAATTTTAAATCCAAAAATATTTATCAGTTTTTTTTCTACATTGATTTTTAATGGGTAGGGAGTAGGTTAGGAAACCTTGAATGTTTAGCCTCTTTAACTCCCTTTTAATGTCAATAATAAATATAATTGTGGTCTACCATACAACTAATTTTTCTTTACTAACTCAAAATGTTAGGTATATCACCCAGAATATCATAGATAATCGAGTAGAATCATTCATTTTTCTTTTAATGGATTAGGTAGGTACCTACAATGAATGCACTATTTTAACTGTTAATGTACACATACTTCAAAATTAATGATTTTTTTTTTTTTGTATTGAGAATACAAAATATCTTTATGGCTATATTATATAACCTATTATAATCTTATAACATTTTCTAATACAAATAAAAAAAAAAATTTAATTACATTAATTTGAACTAACTAAATATGACTATATTTCTATAGTTAAATAAATGTTGAAGTAACTGAAATACTGAAACTGAATAAACTACACAATATAAAGATCATATTTTCAATATTTTTATTAATTGTTTGCTAATAAATAGAATTAAAAAATTAACTTTATATACAATTAATTATGATAAGTAATTTTTTTTTTATTGATTCAAGACCCTTGGCAACATAGACCATTGGGTCTACAAAATAGATGATAAGTGAAGTTAATAGGTATAATTATAACATATACAAATGAATTCAATATGAATAATAAGAAGCTAAGAATTTAATAATCATCGACAATCCATTATAACATAGAAATACAACCGTCAAATTCCTATGATTAAACTGTTTTTGATATGAACATACTACAATTATCACTTTCTTTTAATTTGTACAATTGAAAATCCTTGAAGATTTTTTTTAATAGCTTCCTCCTTTCCCTTATTAAAATTATTCTTTGATTCCACTACATACCTAACGATACATGTATAATTTTATTCTTGTGAGCTTGATAATAGTAAGCAATTAGGTGGGATGGTACTTGATTAAATTTTTCAAGACCCACAGTATTAAAGATAAATTCAGACATTTATATATAAATAGGTAGGTATAGGTAAAATAAATATGAAATTATTAGAAAAGAATGGTTGGTTACGCAATAATAATATTTCTATGATAAAACGAATACCTATTATTATAATTATTAATAAAAATGTATACTTACAGTATGATTCACACCCCACATGAGAACAGACAGCAGTGGCTCATTGGCACGGAACAACTTAACCTTTTGTCTTTTTACTCCAATGTGTTTCTTCTTCAGCTTGCTGAGTCCTCCTTGTACTACACTCATAGTTATTCCGAGTTATTATGATTTATGAATAATAACAGAGCTTTGATTGTAAGCGTTGAATGTCAAGTACTAGAAATCGGGACAAAATGTGACGGATCCCAAGTTGCTCGTACTAACTAGTAGACATCTCAACGTCACTATTGTACTGCAGATAAATGTTAAAGGTCCGCATTAGAAGACTGTCGTCTGAATCGGTCGATAATTTTCTATTTTAAATGATCTGTTAACTATTACGTTGTGCGATAGAAAAATGTTAACACTTAACAATAATAATTTAAGCACTAAACACTAAACAGCTAAATTATAGTGTTATACGACGGCCGACAGTCATTACTTTATCAATTAATTATCATAATGAAACCGTGGATCAATAAACATCAAATTCCTTTTCTTCATGAAAACAGCGATAACGCTTATCTCATACCCAACTACCGATAACAGATGTGGGTGTTTTAATCACGATTTAAGAGATTATAAGAACATAATTGAATATTGTATCAATATTGAATATACCTTGACAGCAGCTGAATATGAACTACTACACGTGTAGTAGTTTATGATACCGAATGATACCTATCTATTATTTCATTCCAGTATTTCAGTATTTCAGTATTCTACATTTCTACAGTCTACAACGCACGGATTAATATATTATATTATAATCCGTGGTCGAACCGTGACCGTACACTGTCGTTACTAATACTAAGAATAATAAAAATAATAAAATAATTACTTATCTAAATCTTACTTTCGTATTTTGTCTTTTATTCTAGTCTCTATGTTCGTTTAAAGTTTTAAACCTCAAACATCGGGAAATGTCCTTTTATAATTTTCATTAACTTTAAAATTTAACTTTGGTACACGGTGTTTGTGAACATGACGACATTAAGAGAACTGAATATGAAGCATAAGGGAATATCGAAAAAAAATCTTAGGCCGAGATGTGTTATTACAGATCCTTACGAAAAATTTTGGTAATATTTACTAGAATTTATATAAAACCTACCTACGTTAATATTATAAAGGCGTAAAAATGGTTTAAATGACCAGGATAAATTATTGCTACTTACTAATAGTTTGAGTTATTTGCGCCGTCTACACCCACAAATATGTATAATCATATTGTTACATGTTTGTGGTTTAGGCACAGTTTGGGTTAAAATTACAAAAATCAGTGGATCTAAAACTGTTTTTAACATATAAACATTTGTTCTCATTTTACAGGCCACTTTTAGGTTTAGGAAAATCTCAATTGCTGGTTAATGAAATGGAAAAGTAAGTATTTAACCTTTATATTTTTTGTTATTAAGTAAATATGTATAGTCTCAAAGCATTAATTCAACATATTGTGATTATAAAATATACAAATTTTTAATTTAACTTATAACCACCTATAAAAAAAATTTTGATTATGTAATTAGCTAATTATTATACACATATTTTTAAAATGATACTGTTTAATTTACCTACTGATAAATCAACTGTATAAACCTAATCATACAACACATGTAATGTTTACAACCATACCTTAATAGTTTTATTTTTTTCAGAACTATATATAAAGAAAATGGTAAATTAAAAGTAAATTGGTTTAGTTTAAAAAAATTACCTTTGGATATACGAAAATGCCAAATTAAAAATCTTTCCAATACACATAAGCATATAAGTCTTGATTTAAAAGCACAAAGGTAAAGTATTTATAAGGTTTGGCTAATTAACCTAGCAATAAATATAAAATATTTATAGATATGTATTTCTGTACTTGTAGATCAGTTTTGAAAATGGGTATCAATGAAGTTAGTAGGTGTGTTGAAAAAGATCAAATAGCTTGTTGTTTGATAGCAGAAGATGTGGCAAACTGTATGATTGCCAAGCATTTGCTTTTTATGACTGCTGCAAAAAAAATACCTGTCCTAATTCTTCCAGATATGTATTCTATTACAAAGCGTATCATAGGTTTTTCTTCTGCAGTGTTAGGATTGAAAGTTAGTACTATTTATACAACTATGAAGTAATTAATTTATAATCGTAACATAAAATTATTTTTAATTTTTAGAGCGATGTAATAAGTAGAACAGAAAATTCCTTGCATAATCTCTATCAAACCATTATTAAATTGTCGAATGAATTTAAAAATCCATACATCAAACAAATTGGTATGAGGGAATTGAAATCTATAGAAAACCCAACACAATTAAATATTAATATTGACAATTATTTACTTAAGAAGCCGCGTGAAGGTAGGGCTTTTGTACCAGAAGAAACATCAAATATTCAGGCATTAAACGACTTATCATTTATACCAATTGAACAAATGGTAGTTGAAAAACAACAACCTTCTGAACATGAAGAAGAACTATTTGAAATACCAATAACTACTGATTTATTTAGCATAGACACTAAACCTATAGTAATTGAAGATATAGGTGAATCTGTGGAACGTAGAACAAACAATTTTAGAGAGCCTTTATTAAGATATCATGGATTAAAAATGAAAAAAATGAAACCCAATCCCCAAAGAAAGCCAAAAAAAAAGAAAATGTTTAATACAAACACAAAAAAGGAACACAATTAACATTTCACTGGTCAATTTAAGTTGTTTTATATAAAAAAAGTATACATAAATAAATTGTGCAAAGTATTTTGGAAAGCATGCATTTCTTCAATTCATATTCAATTAAAATAAGATCTTCAACTAACTGGGTTACATTTTTTGGAACATAAACACCATATATAGAGCTGAAAAAAAGAAATTGTACAGAACAAAAAATTTCTTTGTATTTTAATTACCAATGAGGCTTACTTGCAACTTCCCATTCCGATTTTGATAGTGTCCCAACACTGCCCTGTTTATTTTCTTTTAAAAACTGTTTGGCTTTATCATAGTCATCTTCTGCTCCCATGAGTTCAACTCCTTCCCGGGGAGGATATAACTGAAAATATTAATAAGAAAAAGTAGTTATATATTTATAACTATACATAACTAGCTGATTTTACACAGCATTGACTATGATATGAATTGTGATAAATTTAAAATGTCAATTCATTTACCTAGTCCTAAAATATTTTTAATACAGTAATTTGAGTGGTTATAACCAAATGTAAAATTGTTAAAATTCAAATCTAAAATTGTATACAATTATAATTATTTTATGAACCCAATGGCAACCCTACATAAACACAATACATATTCATTTTTGCAAATTTTAAAAATTGACTTCAAGGTGCACATCCTCAAATAAAGAATATTTATTTACAAAATTCAGTATAGTATATAGTCCCTATATCTTGAGGCAAAGTTTTCAGGTAAGTTACTCCAATATGTAGACCATAGATTAGATATGTAACGTTTTATAAAAGGAGTAAAGTGAGAGTGAGGTAGTTGAGTAAGAGATGGAAAGATAAGGTTAAACGTGGATCTAGCAAGATTGTCAGCCATCTTGTTGCCGTGAATGCCGGTATGACCGGGAATCCATATGAAATGTATAGTATAGTTTAAAGAATTAAGATTGAAAATAAGTGATTTTATACGAAGAACAAGTGGGGATAGTTGAGAGTGTAAAGGGTTGGAATTTAGGGTTTGAAGGAGTGACATAAAGTCGGAAGCTATTAGATATTTATTTGGGGCAAGATTTAAAATGAGTGTTAGAGCTTCGATGATGGCGTAGCAGTCAGTTGTAAAAGAGGAAGACGATGAGGAGAAATTATTTTTAAGGGAAACACGTAACTCTGGAATATGAAACATGTGTTAAATGCAATAAAGAGTGGAAAGATTGGAACATGTGGTGGATAGGGATGTAATGGCTATATGATGTAGAGTGTGCAAGTATATAGAACTACTCTTGGCTGAAGGTATTGTGTGAAAGTATTCTGAGGAGGATATTAGAGAGTATGTCAGGTGTATATAGTAGTCCATTAAATAAATTTATGATACAATTTTGGTTGGCAAGGTAACAGCAAGAGTGGAGTGATGAAAGTTTTAAAACTTAAATAAGTATAATCATGACATGGATCAAGTAATTTAAGAACAAAAGCAGCAAACACTGAAATTTATTCTGCACAAGCTTTAGCCTTACTTGGTCTTTAGCTAGATATGGGTGGCAGATAACAACACCATACTTGAGCAGAGATCAAACCAGAGATATATAAGGATTGAAGGCAGTAAGCAGAGGATAAATGATAAGTATTACGTTTTATAAAACCGATGACTTTTAGAGTTCTACTCACAGTTGTCTCAATATGGTGAATAAAAGAGTGTGGAGAATAATTATATTTATTCAGGATTTATTTATATGTCATGTCTAAAAATATTATGACAAATGTGAGACGAAAGTAATATATAATATTGCTCCAAAATGTATTTTTTAATTTACAATTTTCAATTCCTAAACCACTCTTAGAGCAACACCTGTATATTCTTAGTTTGCTCCTCAAAGAGTTGAAGATAAAAAAATATTTTGTATTTTATACGTTGACCCAACCTCCTATACATAGAAATCAAAATAATAATTTCAGTCCTAAATAGTAATATACTAAGTTTTAAAAATGTTCACTCTAATGTTAATAACTTAGTTGGTAAGACAAGCAGTAGTTTTTCCAAGAAACAATAATATAACTTAAATTATACAAAATTGTCTTGTATGAAGAGTGATAAACAGGGCTCAGAACTTGGTGCGCTAAAAAAAACAATGTGCATAGTGCATACATACATAGTAAATGAAGCTCAAATGAGAAATTATTTTTTTTATAAAATATGTCTTTATATAGGAATGAACTTGGAAAAAACAAAATTACTCAAAAAAAAATTTATAATTTTTTAATTTGATACATTTTCTTGTATATATTTTTCATTTGTAGATATTAAATCATGCTATTATATTTATTTTAAAATAAAATATCTTTTATTGTTGAAAAAATGTTAAATAAAGACCAAGACAAATCATAACAAATACTTGGTATATAATATAATTCAAAATACTGACAAGACGAAGGTGTGTGGCGGCTCTTTTTTTTTAAAATTATTTCAACTACTTTTTCAACTAATAAAAATTTGTTTATGGTTGATTTATAACATAATTAATATGCTTAAGATCTTTAAATATGCAAAATCATATAAATTTAGTAAAATAAGCAAAAACATGCAACAAAAATTGTTGTAATTATATAATATGTATCATGAATCCAATTTGTATCTTATAAGATTTCTCAGCTTTCTAAGAATTATGCAAATACATGAAGTTCTGAGCCCTGGTGATAAGTAACAAATATAAGCACAAGAACTATTAAGTTACAATAACAAAATAGTACAATACTATCAGCTTGCATTCAATTTATAATAACATTGATAGATTTTTATATCTATTAATGTTTAATGCTTACTTATGTTATCTACTCATATTTAATGTTTACTTTAATAATAAACTTTTATATCTACTAATATTTATTTAATTTAAATATTTAAGTTATAATCAAATACCTCCAATGCTGTTATACGGTTTAAGAAATTTGCATCTAAATTTGAACGTTTTTCAAAATACTCGGCAAATGTCATTTTCATTTTCAGTTCCAATCCATAACTTTTTGCTAACCTATTTGACAGATTGTTAAAAATAAACAAATAATAAAAAATAGAAAATGAACTAACTTTTCCAAAACGGGAAAATAAACTAGGAACTCTGGGCAGTCTACAACTCCTTCTAAATGAAAATTATATTTTGCACCAAATATTGGAAATGGTTTATCAATGTCACACATAAACTCAATATTATAGATACTGTTACCAAATTGTTTTTCACCGCATTCTTTTTGGCGTCTCCTAAATTAATCAAATACAAATTAATATTATACAACTATTTGTAAATTTAAATTGTTATTAATACATAAAATGCTGTTAAGTTAACTATAAATGTAAGCATGTAATATAAGCTGACAATGCCATGACAATCTATTTAGATGCTCTCCTCTACTCAATCTAATATTGTGTTCCTCAAATATCTGTTCACACTTTCCAAACTGGTTTACTAGTGAACTTAAAAATGAAATGTTTTTCAAAGATTCCACTCATGCACGATATAAATCCACTTAGTTGATAACTTGATGTCTGAATATCAATTAACAGCATTTATATTTCATTTGTACCTTATTTAAGTTTAACTATAAACATCATTAGTTACTGTAATTATGTGAAACAACTCATAATGAATCTTCCTTATCATGTAATTATCGATCTTTGGAGCTTTGCTCGTAAGAACTATTATTCTTCTGTATCCAAATATATATATATAATATAACATATATCACTCAATGTCATAACTAGTTCCAATCCTTTTGATGTGCAACATTTTCTCAAAAGGGTTTTCTTTCAGCCTTCTAGTGCCCCAAATAATTTTCCTTGTCAAACTTATCATTCCTTCTACCATTTTGTTCTACTTTGAAATGCTCATTTTTCGAACAATGAGGCTTTGTTTTCCGAAAATTTATTTCTGTGAGTCACTGGTTTCTGATGGTATCCAAGGTAGTTTTTTGTAAAAACTTTGAAACGTTTTAGCAGTCTCTTTGACTACTATTTAAGGGTTCAATCAATTCTAGTACCTTTTCTTCCATCCTAAGAATTGGACCTATTCTGAAGTCTGGTGATCGTCAGATGTCAACAATTAGCATCCTATTACTATCATACCACACTTAGGCCAGTTATTTGTAACATTTATACTCCTGTTTCAGTTAGACTTGAGACTTTCTCTGGCATAGAGTGTGTCCTACTAAACATATTTTAAGTATCAGTTGGAAATCATTCAAACTTCTTGTATTCATTATTCATGTATCAACTGAATTTTATTTTAACGTTACTCCACTAAGATACTATTCCATAGTTTGTACTATTCTTAAAGATCCTTCTACCGCTACAGCTCTAAGCATGATTTAAAGGGTTAAAAAAAAATAATATTCTTTTGTCATGGTGTACCTTAATAATCTTTATATTATGCCTTTTTACAGTATTATTTCCTTGAAATGTTTTGCAGATCTTATACACTCATTTCACTTCTAAGTATACTCTTTTCCTTTAATGCGCCAGGCCAACACAATTTGGTTTTTGTTTTATTTCTGTTTTTAAAAACAATTTAGATTGTCTCATCTGAGTAGGAAAAAGTGTATTTTGTTTTATTTTCTCATCCTGTATGGACCTGGCATAAAATTGATTGCCCTGAATAATTATCTTGTGTCTCTTTCAAAGTACTTTGCTGCCATACTTGTTCTTCTTTCTTATTCCATATTATTTTTTACATATTCTTTTTATTTTCTTAACTCTCCAATTATCCGTTACACATGTAAGTACCAACTCTTTTTTTCTTTTCGATTTAAGACATCTTAGTTTCTGTATTACTAAAATGTATACAAATATTGATGTACTGTCACCTTTTAATGGAACACCCATATGTAAAATAAAAATAAAATAAATGTATACATTTTATATAACTAATTTTAAGCAATATTTTTAAAATTAAATAAATTTAGTTATTTTTACTTACACTATTTCTCTGGCATTAGGTATAGTACCTATAAATATTCCACCACTCATCAGATTTTCTGATACATTTTTTAGCATACATTCAGCTTGTTGTATACTTTCAAAGCAGTAGTGAAATGCAAACTGACAGCTTACCAAATGTAATTTCATACATGAGTCCTTAAATAATGTATTTATATTCACCTAAAAATGGGTTAAATGGTTTCTTTAATAATATAAATGATGTTTAATAAAATTAGGTTTAAATTTTGTATTTAGTGATAAAAACATTTCAATTACTCTAGTGCAGTCTGCAACAATAAATTGAGCATCAAATAAGTATCTGTTTCTTGTTTTCATCTCTTCGTATCTGGAATGACAATTCGATATTGACCCAGGAGATATATCTACAGCTACAAGATATTCCATGCAACTTGAATTTCTCCATTTATTTAAATCGCCACCTTTACCACAGGCTAAATCTAATACATGCATTTTTCCATCATGAATTTTGCTGTCTCTAAGCATTGTTACTGCTTCCTCTAAAGATTTATAGCAATTAAATATTGAAAAGTTTAATAAATAAAAAAAAAAATTTCCTCACGAATAAGAGTTGATTTAACCCAATTGTTAAAATTGCGTAAGTACAAGATACGGGATGCATTTCGTGCTGATAAGTTATTTTCTCCATTATCATAATGGCGAGCTATGGTTGCAGACAACAGTTCTTGAGGTTTTGTGACTTCTGACATGGTACGCAGGTTACTAACATATACAATAATGGACACATGAACCAAACGTTAGTACAAAAGTAGTGCAAGAAATTTCAACCATTACAAATAGTGATAAATAAATAAATTGATTTTTACATGAAATGGTTGTTGGACAGGTAGATTTACAGTTTTAAAAATGTTCAATAAAAAATTGAGTAGTAACTTGTCACTATAAAAGTATTAGTCAAAAAATGTTGAAATAACCTTCTATACTGAACACTCAAATAAACAAAATAATGTGGATTGTACTTTTAAGTATAAGCATTGAGAATAATATTAACTCATTACTTAATGGTAATATTTTATTTAAAATGTAAATATTTACAATGATATCATCTACAGAGTACTCACTAGACACTAATCACTTATCACTTATCAATTGAATTGTTGTGTTCACTGTATCTGCGGTACAGACAACAGAATATTTGAGAATGATACAGAACCACGATTGATTTTGTGTACAGAATTACAGAACTACAAACTACAATTACAGTCTACAAGTGGACAAAAATGGGTAGGTATTGATAGTCTGAAACTAAACACACAAGTCTTAAGTCACAACAGTATTATACAATACGTCAACACAACTACTGATTATTTTCATAAACTTAATCAACAATCTGAGATACACCAGTCAAAATTGAACAGGATTGTACATATTTCATGAAGTCAGCGTTCACCTTCATCATAGTTACATTAAACTACCACTTATCACTTTTGAAGTTCCGATAAGGCGGTTTTTCCAAATGCTACAGTATGTAGTATATTACACTACCTATCACGGACTAAGATATATCTTAGTCCGTGCTACCTATATAATAGATACACAAAACGTATACTCATGCTACCCTATAGAATAATCACAGACTATATGAAATTATGTATATTTCATATATTCTGTGGTGTATATCTAGTTCAAAAATATTTATTGAATATAAAAACAAATTAAAAGACCAATGGATTTCAACCCGATAATATTTTAGCTGTAAGTTAGCCGAGGCCCGACTGCTCGAATAATTATCATTACCTATAAAATATGTACCTATATTTACCTATTGGCTATTATTACCATATGTCAATGGCTATTACCTATAAGAACCAGGCTGGTGTCGCGATCTCCTGAATCCCGAACTGCACTAATTAAAAAAAAATAAAACTCCCCCAAGCCAGACGGTATCCACACTGGTGGGCCTCCCTCCTCACGCCATTCATGTTGTTCCTTTATTATATTATCAAATTTGCTTATTGTATGTATAATGTATATAAATATTAAATATTGAAAAATATTCTATTTTATCTAATAAAAAAAAAGATTTTTATTAAGTTTCTCCAAATCTCAACATCTTCCAATATTTGTTCAAAACAAAAAGATAAAAAAAATTATAAGAAAATTTGCTTTTAAGAGAACATTTAATATGCATATGTGTTGTCTCCAAGTGTTCAAGTGTGAAACATATCAAATTTTCGTTCAGCAATTGTCATTAAGGTTCATTAGTTTTACATAAAAATAATCACTCCAATATTAAAACTAACAACGCAAAATACGGTCACCTGAAATTGGTACTCACTGTCTTGTAAGGCGGAGAATACACATACTGATAAATCATTACTGCTTATTACTTTTCAATTTAAATTCAATCATACATTCATACTTTCAAGCTTTGATGACAGGTAATGTGTCAGCTTCAGGTCATATACTATGAATGGGTCCCTGTCCCGGTAACTTGAAGTGCATATTAGCGTCTGTTAACCGCTACCGGGGCTTCCACCGCCTCGTCACATTGCTCTACTACCCCCTCAACAGGCGCGACCACTGAGTCTCCTATTACCAGTTCGGCCAGTCCATTCCAGGATTCTTCTTCCGGTTGGTCGATGATCGACGGTGTGACCTCGGCGTTTTCTATACTCAGCTCATCCGGTCCATTTGAGGGTTCTTCGTCTGTTTGGCCTTTGGCCGATGATCGACGCCTCGTCGCTGCCTGCAAACTTCATCGGATAACCTAGGAGCGTCACTATGTTTCCAGCATCCAGCGGTTGGGTCCTCGTCATAATTGTCAAAAACGCTTAACTTAATTTGCATATTTTCGTATTCTATTTCATTTATTATCTTTTCAATGATGTCTTTTAATGTAGTTGCGATGCAGACAGCTGTTCCGATGTTATATGATTCAGATTCAGCAATTCATTTCATTTTCATTTCACACCTCGGATATTAATTAAAATTACTCATTCAACATTAACGAAAATTCGAGCATACTCACTGTAGATTTTGTTGGTTATTTCAGCACATAACTACATAAGTATTTTTTGGGATAAAAAGTAATCACGGTTTTAAGTAATATGAAAAGCAACTTCTAACTGATCCTAGCCCCCAGGGCCCCCATACATCAACACAGGATAGGGCCTACCGGGAAAATCCCGAATTCCCGGTGGGCCCATCCGCCACTGAAAATTCCCAATAGTTTTCAAAAGCACAGGAAAAGCAGACAAATTATTAAGGGCAAATGGAAATCTTTACAATTTTTGCAGTCGGTTTTTCTATATTTTTCTAGTGTTAAATATTTTTAAATAAGTTTGCTTGAACAATATTTATAGTTAAGTTAACTAAAACTTAGGTATAGTTATCTTCATTATAACTTATAAGCTTAATGAAAATAACTAAAAATTAATAAGTGTTTACTATTAAAAATAGTTAATTTAATTACAACTATATAAATTGTAGTTCTCATTCCTAATTGATATTTTTTTTACTATTAAATAAAATTAGTTTGGTTTGGTTTTTTTTTACTTATTATTAATTATATTATAATAATTATTTTAATATACAACGTAAATCAATTGGCGGGTTGATAGCAAGTGAGATATAATAAAAAATAATACCAAAAAAACAACTTTTATAGGTAAAAGCCGTTCCACAAAGTAAACACTGTACTAGAGAGCCTAGATAATAAATATTATTATATAATCTAGGTTATAATAAATCTGAAATCATGCTGTCGGGCGCCGACTACCAGACACCGACGTCCGACACACCGTCCAGTAAATCAATTTTGTGGTTCAAAAAGACACGTTAATTTAATATCACAGAATAGATTAAAAATGTTATCAATAAAACCGGCTGGTTTTGTGGACGAGATCGGGGTTCAAAATATGATTGTTTGGTAGCTTGATTGTCTTTTTTCTTCTATGGTTTCGTGAAAAGAGCCAGGTCCCCATCGTGGACGCGTCCGGCGAAGACAGAGATAAAACTAAATGCTGATAAAAAACGGTAAAGCATCATAATTCATAGATAATCTATGTAAAGCACTTACGCGCGCTGGACGGTCCATTACACTGTTATAGTTTAATCGGCAATTTTCAATAGTTTTATAGTCCATTACGGATTTATTTAAGCTGGTCAAGTTGGTTAATTCCCATAACATTACTATCAGCCACGGTAAATAATTAAAGAACTTATCAAATACGAACATTTGTAATAAATTTCAATAGTAAGTTGTCATTATTTACATTGTGAGTTGTTCTCATAAGACGTGAGAGTGTGTTGGTAAAGGTTGACTTTCTCACTCTTAAAGCGCTGCACAATTTTAGGCATCATTTCTACATATTATTTTTAATACAAAAATCTCATATTCATTTAAAACAAATACAGTATAAAAACCGTTATGCCGATGATATAAACAAATTTATGTTTTGAATTTTGTCCATTTTTATCAAGATCTCAAAAACTCCCTAAGTTGTGGTTGAACGTTTTACAATTTTACTTTGGTACTTTTATTTTTTATAAATCAAAATATTAATTATTTATTAATTTTCTAAAGTTAATATTCGATAGTGCAATCTTTTGGTATTATTTTATTATCTATTTACACAATTACCAATGGATATAATATATTATGTACCTACCTAATACATTTGTACGCTTTTAGTTTTGCAATGATATATAATAAATATCAATAGATGTACATACCATGTACAATCACTTATAACTTATAATTGATAAATTAATATATTGACTATGATTTATTTTGTTTGAATTTCCTGCTAGGCATTAAATATTTTTTAAAACATGTTCAATTTGTTTTAACATAATATATATTTTTACATTTTGAATTTGATTTCTCTGTCAGTTTAAAAATGTTGCTTCTAGAACTTAAGCAAATATCTTACTTTAAATGTTCTTGATTTAATTTTTTAGGAAAATACCATCAAGATTTAAATCATGTCTGTAGTTCTTGAAACTACTATTGGGGATTTAACAATAGATTTGTTTATAAAAGAAAGACCTCACTGTAAGTACCTATTCATCTTTTTTTTAAGGTTAATATATTATGTTTTCATACTGGCTCTATCTTACTCTACCCACCACAAAATAAATAAATTAATTAAATATAGTAAACATCTTGGATTACTGGTTAATGGTTATACTGCATAATTTGTAATCATCAGAATAACAATTTCATTTATCTAAAGACTAAATCAATATCCTTCTAATATTATGTTTATTATATTTTTATTGAAGTACCTACTTATTTGACATGTATTATTAAGATATATTAACCATTTCAGCTTGCAAAAACTTTCTGAAGCTGTGTAAATTAAAATATTACAACTTTTGTCTCTTTCATCATGTACAATCAAATTTTGTGGCTCAAACAGGCGATCCAACAGGTACTGGATCGGGAGGACAATCAGTGTATGGGTAAGTTTAAAAAAAGGTTCATTGTTTATATAATTATTCAAATTCAACATTCTAATTATATTTCAATAAAATTTAGAATTTTATCAGGTAAAGACGCTAGGTACTACGAAGGAGAAAAAAAACCAAAAATTAAACATGATCGGCCTGGACTTGTTTCAATGGTTAATTGTGGCGATAATTTGTATGTTGAATGTTTTCACATTTTTTTTTTTTAATTAAGTAATTGTTTTAATAATTTGTTTTATTTTAAAGGATTGGATCACAATTCTTTATAACTTTAGGTGAAGATACAACTTGTTCATTAGATGAACATATTGTTTTTGGTGAAATAGCTGAAGGTCATGATGTATTATTAAAATTGAATGAGACAATTTGTGATGCTACACATCGACCATATCAGGATATAAGGTTTGAACTTTTTATATGTATGTAATAAGTATGATACAAAGATACAATGATTGAAGTAGAATAGTAAAGTATTGACTATATAGTACAAAAGTTGCAACTTCAAATGATATAATAATAATAATATTTATTTGTTAGTATCAGTTGCCCACTGCATTTTTAAAAAATACATAATAATAAATTATTCACAGGCTTATAACAACAGCTATTTCTTTGTTTTTTCTTAAAAAGTTATAGAATTTCTACATAATATTTAACAATAAATCAAGTTACCTACGTAAGGAAAAATTAATAATCTAAACAGAAGATAAAATAAAATAAAGAATACAATGATACAAAATATAAATGACAACAAAAATGAGTGTATCGCTTATTTATTTTTTTTACTGATATGATAGTTTTTATGAATATACATTGTACAATATATAATGTATTAAATTTACACTAAACTTAGAACTCCAAAAATCAAATTTACTGATACAGTAAAATAATTATTGATTTATATTATATACTTGCTTTTATTTAATAAAAAATACTTAAATTATTTTATTGTTGTATTATGTAATATAAATTTATAAAAATTAGCTTGAAGAATGCACATATTTGTTTTACTTTAAAAAGTTAAAATTATAAAATAATATCTTTTATGATGTAATTAATATTAACTTATTAATTCTATTATAGCAGTATGATCTAATACTCTTCCATTTTATGTTTTTTTCTTGTTAATTAAAATTGTATATACCTTCATTTTTCTTATGATAGAATCACACATACAGTCATTTTGGAAGATCCATATTCTGATCCTGATGGTTTAATTGTACCTTGTCAATCTCCTGAGCCACCATTAGAAGTGCTCCAGGTAATTTAATTTTTATGAAAAATGTATTTAGATTTTTTTATAAGACCTAAGATATTTGTATAGAGTGACAGAATTGGAGCAGATGAAGACATCACTGAAGATATAGATATTGAAGAATTAGAAGAAAAACGACAAGAAAAAGAAGCTCAAGCTCGTGCTACCATTCTTGAAATAGTTGGGGATCTACCTTCTGCTGATATTGCACCTCCTGAAAATGTTTTATTTGTGTGTAAGCTAAATCCAGTTACCAGTGATGATGATTTACAAATAATATTTAGCAGATTTGGTAAAATTGTAAGGTAAATATTTTTTATCAATTATAGTTTTATGATTGCAACTAGTTAAATATTAATTATTGAAAACAGTTACAAATAATAAATTTAGCTAATTTTTTTAGTCTATTTAATTTTTGTACAAAAATCAATTTTATTTTTATCCAATAGAAAATATTATCTCTAAAGCTGGTATCAGACTGTTTGTCTCTTGTTGATCAACAAATATTTTATTTTGATATTTACCATCTTCAGGATTTTTTCAAAAAGTATTGAATAAGTGTAATTACTGGCTTAGGAAGTATCAGTTAAAAATAAATACTCTTTTTTCTATTTATTTTCAATTAGACATTAAATGAAAGGTGGTATATAAGGTCTAAAATCGAATTGACTTGTCCAAATGTGTTTTAATATTAAATATGTTACAGACAATTTATTTTACTTTAGTAATTTGAATATACTGTTTTGTTTTGTGATTTCTTTCTGACGTTTAAACTAAAATATCTACTGTTTTTTTTAATGTTTCCTCCCTTTACCTCTTAATCACTCAATTTTTCATTCAACATTCAAATACCATACTAATTATCATTACTGTATCTTGGGTACATTTTATATTCAAAGAAGATAACTGGTGGTAAGCTTTATCCGAGTACCCAATAAAATCAAGTTGGTATTTAATAGAACATCCATTACATTTACATTGTGTGATATGCTGAATGCTTGTTTATTTTGCATTTTAACTAAAATAATATAATAACTACCTATTTTTAACAATTCGAAATTACTTTAACTAATTATTATACACATGATATAAAACACAAATATTAAAGTATACATTATCAATAAATTTCTATTACATTTAAATGTCTGTCTAGTCAAAAATAAGCAAAATTCATTACACCACATTTCTAATTACTGTTTATTTTACTCTGTTACAGTTGTGAAGTTATTAGAGATAAAAAGTCTGGGAATTCTCTACAATATGCTTTTGTTGAATTTGATAATCAAAAATCATGTGAAGATGCTTACCTGAAAATGGACAATGTTCTAATTGACGATCGCCGAATTCATGTAGATTTCAGCCAAAGTGTATCAAAAATTAAATGGTTGGGAAAAGGACGAGGAGTAAAATATACAGATAAAGATGATGAAGGAAAAAATATAAGTGATAAATATTCAAAGTACAGAAATAAGAAAAGAGATAGTTATGACTCTAGGAATAATTACATTAAAAATAAAATATCAACTCATGATTCAAAACGTTACAGAAAAGATGATAAAAACTATAGATATCGAGAAAGTGAAAAAGAGGAAAGAGTTCCCTATACTAAATATAGGAGAAATGAAAAAGATGACAACAGAAGACGTGAAGATAAAACGAGAACAAATTTCAGAAATGAAGGAGAAAGGAAAACCGATAGAAACGAAAGGGATGGAAAAAATGAAAAGGACGACAAAAATAGAAGAAGTAATAGAGATGATAGGGATAAAAGAAGTAATAGAGGCGACAGAACCCAAAGAAGTGATAGACATAATAGGGATAGCCGTAGATAAGTTAGTAGGTATTGAATAATGAATGAAACAGTTGAGAATGACAATTTAACCATTTATGTATGTATATAATGACAGAAGACTAAGCTTGAAAATTTCTTTGATGATGTATTCATAAATATAATTGTTACATTTTTATTAAAATTGAATACATTGGTACTTGTACCAAATTTTGAGACCTAAGTCTAGTTAATAAATTCATATTATTATTACACAAAAGGTGGACATGAATGAGATCCTTTAAAAAAGAAGTAAACCTGTTTATTTACAATTTATAAATCTTAAAAACTAATCTCTAAGTAAAGTTTAAATTTTAAAAAAAACCTAATTTTACTGTTTGTACTCAATGTGAACAAACTTAACTTTTAAATTAACTTTCTCAACATTTGCTCTTTCATAAAAGGTATTATCACAGTTGGGTATATTATAGCTACATATAATCTACAACTGCCAAGTTACTCGTTTTTTAATTGAACTTGTAACTATATTCCTGTTATATGAAAGTTAATAGTTACACTGTGCATTTTTTTGCTTTGATATTAAAAATAGTTTAAATACTTATAAAAAAAATTGTGTCTATGGATCTTTAATATTTCTCAACTACTATTAATTGGTTTATAAATACTTATTAGAAACCTTGTATTAAATTTTCAATTATTTTAACTTAACGGAAAAAATTGTATTGACATTATAAAACATAATTTGCAACTTTTCTTGTTTTTGATGCATTTTTTCAAAATTCTTACTTCAAGTGCTCATAACATTTTGTGATGTTACGATCAACTTTTAATTCCATTAACAACAACTTCTTAAACAAAATAAACTATAATGAAAATCAAAATTTTCTCATGTGTTGAAAATATCATTTATTTACAGTTATTTTATGTAGTCACACCAAAAAACAAAATTTATTTAAACTGTTTATACTTAAAATCTTGGGTTTTTATTTGTTTTTTCTGAGGTTTTTGAAAACTATGGGGAATTTTTTACTCTTTTTGAAAAAATAAAAAAATTCTTAAATCAGTGATAAAAATTAATTTTTAAATTTAGTGAATTCAGATATAGAAGCCAGTATTTGGTTAAAATGTTGAATTTAACGTTCTGTGTGAATATGTGTGATATAGGTGTGATATTTTAAATCATGAGTAATTAGTTAATACAAGCGCGCCTGTTTTACCATACAGAGTTGTACACAGACCGCATACTACCGTCATGGAACAAACAGTCGCTTGTTTGCTCCGCCCCGGGAGCCAAGGACGTTTTTTGGGTAAACGCTTTCGGCTTTCGCCGCCGTGTGCCGTTCGTAGATCATCAATCAGTGATGCGGTTGAATGCCGAATGGTTCTCCGTCGTCGTATCGTTTGTCAAATTCTGCGCTGATAAAAAAAAAAAATAAATAATAATAATAATCTAATATCATAGAAACAACTCTCGACGGTCAGTCGTCACTGATCACTATTATTGTATAACGCGTGTGTGTTTGCGGCGTGTGCGGCTGTCGTTCGCGTATGAAGCTTAGCTGATATCTAGTCTCATTTACCTTTAAATAATCATTGTAAATTGTTAAATATAAGTATTACTGTGGTAATCGAATAATCTGACGTCCGAAGTACTAATTATAACCTAATAATATTATTATACATCCACACACACTATGGCCGATGAAGACTTGCCACACGCCAATGGCAACGGGCTCGAAGAAAATGGACATGTGCCGGAAATTGAGCTCATCATTAAGGTAAGTCTTCGATTAATACTTACGAGCAATGTCAGTTTTTGTCTTTACATTTGGAAGTTGGAAACTTGTCACTGGTATGTTGTAAGTTTGAAACGTTTTTAATAAATACATAACGACAAATCTACCCATTTACACCCTTCCGAGTTTATTCCAAGCAACACTAGATGTCTAGGTGCCAGCTACCTAATATTATGCATATTATGCATATTAATATTATATAATATTATGCATATTATGCATATTAATATTATATAATATTATGCATATTATAATACATTTATTATTTTGATTCTCGAACAAATTAAATAAATTTAAGACTCAATACCTAGCAGGTTGGTATCTCACAAAATTAAATGTTTTGTATGTTCAATATTGCGTTACCCGTTCCTAAAAGTGGCAAATTTTTTTTCATATTAATGACATATTAAAAATATATTTACAGGCATCGAAATCGCACGATTATCGGTCATGTAATAATATTAACACGTAAATACTGATATGTTCAAAAAAAAAAAAAAAACCATGACCTCGTAAATATACGTATACATGACGTAAAACTTATTCAACTAGGTAGGTATAAAAAGTAAAAAATATACTATTTTGTAACATTACATACCGGCTGCGATAATTTTATATTATAGGTTAGTAAAGTAAGGTATGTGATAAAAAAGTGGTAAATCCAATAAGTTATTGGCAATAAAATTGTTAAAACAAGAGAGATATCTAGGTTTTTTTTCATTGACTTTTCCAATATTTTTTAATATTCAATAGCTGGTAAAAGGGTTAAGTTACTGATATAGCTTAATATAAAATAGGTAGGTACTATAAACATTTAATAATGCCCCAAAATCATTTTTGACAATAATGTCATGTACCCATTATGGATAAATATCAAAAATATCATTATTTTTAACGCTGAAAAACAAATATCGTATTTAATATTTATAGGTATTTAGAAGTAATTTAACGTTGAATAATGAATAATACAATATATAATAATAATAATATATAACTCTTAATTATTAATTAATTAGGAAGGTAACATTGTAACAATACGAATGACCGCCCGTTGATCAACAATCACAGTCATAACACGACTGTCGTATTTATGCTATATACACTATACAGTATTACAGTATACACATAAATTAATGAGCTTGAATGTATAATATTTAATAAGTATAAGTTATTAGTTATTATTTATAACTAATAGCAGTAATACGTAATATACTAATATTTATGTATATTATATTATTATGTAGGTACGTTTATAATAATTAGTATTAATATAGTTTCAATATCAAATAAGTAGATACATTATTATAAGTTAACACTATTTTTATTTGTTGATTATTAATATCCTTTTAAATTATTGATCTTAAAGATTTCTCTCTAAAATCCGTTCGTTATAATTTTATAAATTAAAATTTTTTTAAAAAATTAAAAAGAATTAAATATTACCCAGGTACGTATTAGTTATTATCTAGGTATTAAACTATTAATACGTGTCTTACATAACTAAATATAATATAATAAAATTATAAAATAATAAACTAATGTTTATTTAACCCTAATGTCAGATATTCGAACACAAAGATTGTTATTCACGGATAATAGTTATTTAAAATATTACGTTTAACATAAGTAACGTCCAACAGGCAAGGGGCAATTATTATCAATTATCATACTACATAATATATATATTGACTGATTTATGATGTTATGTAGATTTAATTGCTTTGTCAATTATATACATGAGACTCCATTGCAATACCCAATGAAATAATTTGTTGGACATATTATCTTCAAATAATTATTATATTATTTTTATTATTTTTTATTTAGTGTACCAAAAAATGATATAGGTACCTACATTATGTACATTATTCGTTTTCATATTGTTGGACATTTTTCTCTTCTTTTTGTAACACATAATATTATTTTTACATAGTAGGTATTTTAATATTATTTGTCTAGTGTTATTTTAATATCGTTCAAAATCAGTACAAAAATAATTTTAAATTATGATAATTAGGTAGGTACTTACATATTTTGTTGTTAGAACTCGGAACTTCATAAAATTGTATCTAATCTGTGTCATTATCAAAAAAATGTAACTATATAAACTCTAAAAATGTGTGTCTATTTACAGATATCTATTCTTTATTGCCATTGAAAAAGCCATACATATTTAGTTAATAACTACCTACTGCCTACTTTTCAAAAATTATAAAACTACCGGGTACGTAATTTATGAGGTGTGGGCGCAGGGTGTGCATTCTCATTTTTTTGTAAAACGACTGACTTGTTAAAAGTAAAATGAAACCGCTGATAAGTATGCATGTGTTATAAACGTGATATTGAGTCAAAATTGTTTATCTTTTTACTTCTTTTCATAAGTACATTTTCGCTGTGGCCTAATAATTGACCAACTACTGAGAGAAAATTAATAACAGCAATTATATACATATTTATTTTATTATAAGGAACATAAAAAAAAATAAAAAAAAAATGTAACTATTAATTTGTACGTGACAGTATGTTGTTGTTTGTACAAATTACAACCACGGGATACGAACTAAAGTCGTCCTAATCGTAAAATTGTATTATAAAATATCACAAAAAATTTATAATTTCCCATCAAAATATCAAAAAAAAAAAGTAAGTCTAAAAATTGCATTCCTTAGAGTTTCTTACATACCTGCATACTATAATAGTTCTAACTAAATCGAATATATTGTGTCTGTTATGATTTTATTAACATTTTGGTGCCGACTATTAAAAAACTGACAACAACCTTCTAGTATAAACTCCATGTCAGTTTTCCATACGTATAATTCGTAGAATGTCTTGTTTGAATATTTCGAAGGATTTTTGCCTCGATTTTTAGTATTTAAAATGGTTTTTCGATTAAATGTTCATACAAGTAGGTGTAGTCATATAAGAATTTTTTTGTTCGCTCAGATCAGAATATAAAATATTAAAGTTATCCAGATAATTACGGATGTAATTCGAACTCTGTTCTCTGAGCCATTAGTAACTTATATCTCAAATACCCCTCCTATTTAAATACTTACTATACATCATATTTGTCTTTAATGGATAGATAATTTAAATTTAACTCAAGACTCCATTGTTTGTGTTAATTACAGTTAATGAATAGTATACGACTGCGTACTGTATATATTTTACTCAACTAACCCGCCTAATGCCTATTGAAATGTATTAGTTTAAATACTTTTTAAAAACTACAAGTTCGTGGTTGGTATTGGTGATGTTTTATTTGTATAGACAATATTTTGTTAAATTGTAAGGTAAACATTATTTACACAACAGTAAGACGAATACAAATATACCTATGTTATGTAAAAAGTCGTAGGATACGAATAATATTGTTATTTGTTTTGTAGCCTCTATGATTCAGCACTTGAGTGTGGTGTTCAGAGTTTCAGACGTTATGTCGTATTATTGGAGTACATAGTATAGAACGTGTACCTACGTAATAGAGAAATGCGAACCGGCTGCGGGTGGCGTGTGTGTGTGTGGTGCTGTAACTCCCGTAGTACCATAGTGGTGGGCTCGGTGCAGATGTCTCGCCCCCGCATGCCTCTTCGACCTGTCCACCCCTGGGCCCCTATTAGATACCTAATACACGTGCGCAGCCGTCGTTTATTTTCAGCTGCCTACGTCTCTGCCAGTCACAAGTTCACTATACCGCAACTGCCAACTATACACTTAAAATTTAACAACTAAAGCATTTTAACGATGTTTTTTCTTAATTTTTAAATATTACCATTGTGTAAATTGTAAGTAATACAGAAAACCAAAATGCTGATTACTGATGCAAATTATTTCTTATAGGCATTGCATAAATGTCTAATTTATTACTGTATTAGGTATAATAGACGTACTATATGTATATATGTACCATGGTTTTATTTTATTATTTCATTTAAGTAGATCTCAGACCATAGTGTTGACATCAATATTCTTTGAAGCTATAACATCGATTGAAATTGGTAGTTTACAGCATTCCCTGCAAGTTTGTTAGTCGTTACCTATTTGGTATACAGATAAAATATCGTCTGCATAAAATGACATTCTTGCGATATCCATTCATTTTCTAAAATTAATGAACTAACTATTTCTTTGTGAGTTATCTAAGGTAGGAAGTATATTTTATAGTTTCACAATATTATAACAAACGATTTTTTGTTGAAAATTTGTTGACACTTAATAGTGAGTGCAATGTATGAAAGTTAAAATAAAATGTGATATCTGCATTTCGTGACTATTTAATTTCCACTTTATCTATTCGTCTAAATTGGTACATGTGTATAATGTGTATGAAATAGTAATATGTTTGTATAATCTTGATAGTAGATATTATACCCATTACCCATATTTATATTGCTCAATCTGTATTATGTAATAAAATGTTTGAAAATTAAAATATTTTATTTAACCGATCGAATTTGTTATCGGATATTGTAGCTCCAAAGGAAAGATATAAAAATGCAATAGCTGATATCTGCAGAATATCACAATAATCAAGTTCAATTGATTTTACCGGTTACTTTCACTAATAACATTTATTGTGCAATATCTATGTATTATATTTATATGCTTATAAGTTATTGTGTATATATACTTGAATGTATGTATATATGTGTGTTCATGTAGGTGTGTAAGTGTCTTATATCGTTATAATATATAAGTTAAACATGTAGTTCTTGTTCTTTGTATTCATATACGTAATGATTACATGAAATAGGTACCTTATTTAAAAAAAAAACTTAAATTTACTTTGATAATAAAATATACTTACCCTTAAATATATTTATACTACGTATGCCTACAAAATGTATGTATATCGCCACAGAAACAACAATACCTGCACGTATGACGTATCTGTTTTTACTAGTTTCAGAAACATCAAAAAACTATTTTGTCTTCTAGATAACGATTATTAGCTCTTAAAATAAAATTTCTATAGACAA